GGCATACAGACTCTACCTTCACACGCCACCACATAGCGGTATTAAGATCTGCCATTGTATATTGATAAGGACGAACGACTACTACACGCGTGACACAGACCAATTACGGGTCTGCATTAAATTTTATAAATCATAAATATATTTGAATACTACACTGTATACTTGGCCTGATTCGCGCTGATAATGAAGATGACAATGTTTGTATACATATTTGTCGTGTTAGGGAAACGAAATACTACTAGCCTCATTATAAACCTGATAAAGCATGTTCGTTATAACAAAGAAGCCAATGTTTTGGCATTTTCCCTCATGCAGATTTTAAGTGATTTAAGTATTTTCTGTAATTTAACAATATATAATGCCTGTCTGAATAAAAATAATCGTTCATGATAAAATCCACTAAAATAAGCCAGTGTTATTCTACGCTAGGCAAATTAGTAAACAATACTATTGCAAAGTATTGAGCATGATAACGTATACTTCCGACATACTCCACTGTTAAAGTCTAGAATGCGATCGCACGGGTCAGATAAAACAGATAGGAGTTCTCCTGCCACTGCTGGGGGAGAGCGATTTGATTTACTCCGGCAGGACTGAACTGTAAGTGAGGGGTTGACATTATCAACAATCGTTAGGCTGGAGGGCAGACAGCAGGAATAGATCAGGGGACAACACAGAGTAGCTCAGCCTTCTCCGATGCCGTTAACATGAATTTCCAGTTCGACTATGAAGGTGTGTTATGTTATTTAGGGATATAGTCTATAATCGTGTTATAATACTATATAAAATTTAACTGTCAAGTCTGATAAAATTACGAAGATTTCTTACTGCATCACTGACTATTCTGGATTTTTGTGGTAAACATTCGTCGTGAATGCTGCTGATAAAAATAACACGACATCAGAGTGAATTATTACTTCTAAGAAATACGACACAAGAGAGGAATATACTACAAAGTAATATAAGACTTAGGTGGATTGCTACAACAAAGAAATACGACACTAGAGAGGAACACTGCTACAAAGTTATATAAGACTTAGGTGGATTGCTACAACAAAGAAATACGACACTAGAGAGGAATACTACTACAAAGTAATATAAGACTTAGGTGGATTGCTACAACAAAGAAATACGACACTAGAGAGGAACACTACTACAAAGTAATATAAGACTTAGGTGGATTGCTACAACAAAGAAATACGACACTAGAGAGGAATACTACTACAAAGTAATATAAGACTTAGGTGGATTGCTACAACAAAGAAATACGACACTAGAGAGGAATACTACTACAAAGTAATATAAGACTTAGGTGGATTGCTACAACAAAGAAATACGACACTAGAGAGGAATACTACTACAAAGTAATATAAGACTTAGGTGGATTGCTACAACAAAGAAATACGACACTAGAGAGGAATACTACTACAAAGTAATATAAGACTTAGGTGGATTGCTACAACAAAGAAATACGACACTAGAGAGGAATACTACTACAAAGTAATATAAGACTTAGGTGGATTGCTACAACAAAGAAATACGACACTAGAGAGGAATACTACTACAAAGTAATATAAGACTTAGGTGGATTGCTACAACAAAGAAATACGACACTAGAGAGGAATACTACTACAAAGTAATATAAGACTTAGGTGGATTGCTACAACAAAGAAATACGACACTAGAGAGGAATACTACTACAAAGTAATATAAGACTTAGGTGGATTGCTACAACAAAGAAATACGACACTAGAGAGGAATACTACTACAAAGTAATATAAGACTTAGGTGGATTGCTACAACAAAGAAATACGACACTAGAGAGGAATACTACTACAAAGTAATATAAGACTTAGGTGGATTGCTACAACAAAGAAATACGACACTAGAGAGGAATACTACTACAAAGTAATATAAGACTTAGGTGGATTGCTACAACAAAGAAATACGACACTAGAGAGGAATACTACTACAAAGTAATATAAGACTTAGGTGGATTGCTACAACAAAGAAATACGACACTAGAGAGGAATACTACTACAAAGTAATATAAGACTTAGGTGGATTGCTACAACAAAGAAATACGACACTAGAGAGGAATACTACTACAAAGTAATATAAGACTTAGGTGGATTGCTACAACAAAGAAATACGACACTAGAGAGGAATACTACTACAAAGTAATATAAGACTTAGGTGGATTGCTACAACAAAGAAATACGACACTAGAGAGGAATACTACTACAAAGTAATATAAGACTTAGGTGGATTGCTACAACAAAGAAATACGACACTAGAGAGGAATACTACTACAAAGTAATATAAGACTTAGGTGGATTGCTACAACAAAGAAATACGACACTAGAGAGGAATACTACTACAAAGTAATATAAGACTTAGGTGGATTGCTACAACAAAGAAATACGACACTAGAGAGGAATACTACTACAAAGTAATATAAGACTTAGGTGGATTGCTACAACAAAGAAATACGACACTAGAGAGGAATACTACTACAAAGTAATATAAGACTTAGGTGGATTGCTACAACAAAGAAATACGACACTAGAGAGGAATACTACTACAAAGTAATATAAGACTTAGGTGGATTGCTACAACAAAGAAATACGACACTAGAGAGGAATACTACTACAAAGTAATATAAGACTTAGGTGGATTGCTACAACAAAGAAATACGACACTAGAGAGGAATACTACTACAAAGTAATATAAGACTTAGGTGGATTGCTACAACAAAGAAATACGACACTAGAGAGGAATACTACTACAAAGTAATATAAGACTTAGGTGGATTGCTACAACAAAGAAATACGACACTAGAGAGGAATACTACTACAAAGTAATATAAGACTTAGGTGGATTGCTACAACAAAGAAATACGACACTAGAGAGGAATACTACTACAAAGTAATATAAGACTTAGGTGGATTGCTACAACAAAGAAATACGACACTAGAGAGGAATACTACTACAAAGTAATATAAGACTTAGGTGGATTGCTACAACAAAGAAATACGACACTAGAGAGGAATACTACTACAAAGTAATATAAGACTTAGGTGGATTGCTACAACAAAGAAATACGACACTAGAGAGGAATACTACTACAAAGTAATATAAGACTTAGGTGGATTGCTACAACAAAGAAATACGACACTAGAGAGGAATACTACTACAAAGTAATATAAGACTTAGGTGGATTGCTACAACAAAGAAATACGACACTAGAGAGGAATACTACTACAAAGTAATATAAGACTTAGGTGGATTGCTACAACAAAGAAATACGACACTAGAGAGGAATACTACTACAAAGTAATATAAGACTTAGGTGGATTGCTACAACAAAGAAATACGACACTAGAGAGGAATACTACTACAAAGTAATATAAGACTTAGGTGGATTGCTACAACAAAGAAATACGACACTAGAGAGGAATACTACTACAAAGTAATATAAGACTTAGGTGGATTGCTACAACAAAGAAATACGACACTAGAGAGGAATACTACTACAAAGTAATATAAGACTTAGGTGGATTGCTACAACAAAGAAATACGACACTAGAGAGGAATACTACTACAAAGTAATATAAGACTTAGGTGGATTGCTACAACAAAGAAATACGACACTAGAGAGGAATACTACTACAAAGTAATATAAGACTTAGGTGGATTGCTACAACAAAGAAATACGACACTAGAGAGGAATACTACTACAAAGTAATATAAGACTTAGGTGGATTGCTACAACAAAGAAATACGACACTAGAGAGGAATACTACTACAAAGTAATATAAGACTTAGGTGGATTGCTACAACAAAGAAATACGACACTAGAGAGGAATACTACTACAAAGTAATATAAGACTTAGGTGGATTGCTACAACAAAGAAATACGACACTAGAGAGGAATACTACTACAAAGTAATATAAGACTTAGGTGGATTGCTACAACAAAGAAATACGACACTAGAGAGGAATACTACTACAAAGTAATATAAGACTTAGGTGGATTGCTACAACAAAGAAATACGACACTAGAGAGGAATACTACTACAAAGTAATATAAGACTTAGGTGGATTGCTACAACAAAGAAATACGACACTAGAGAGGAATACTACTACAAAGTAATATAAGACTTAGGTGGATTGCTACAACAAAGAAATACGACACTAGAGAGGAATACTACTACAAAGTAATATAAGACTTAGGTGGATTGCTACAACAAAGAAATACGACACTAGAGAGGAATACTACTACAAAGTAATATAAGACTTAGGTGGATTGCTACAACAAGGATATACGACACTAGAGAGGAACACTGCTACAAAGTTATATAACACTATATTACTACTGTAAATGAACATTATACAAGATCGGGGTTATTCTACTGAGTAGGACTACCTAACTCAGGATAGGTTGTAAACCTCACGCCAGACACTAACAACGTAAATAGCTATTGCTTTCTCTTTTTTGATGTTTAAAAAAAAGTAAAAATAGCTAAGCTAATAACTACAGACTTCAGACTTTTTGAACATTGAAGACGCAAAGTTGACATTTTAAGAGATTTTGTGAAGCAGATTTATGTAAACGTCATGATGTACATGAGAATTATCCGGAGAAATTACATATTAGCGATCAGTAGCACCAGACTGACCGTACACATTGATGTGATAAGCTTGATTTAAATGTCCAGATTACCTTTAGAGGTCCAGTGTATGGCGAGACCTTCCTTCACCTAAAAGCTTGAGTGTATACTATATAACACCTGGTGTCTACAGACGCTCGCTATAGAAAGCATTTACCTGGCTCTTTAATATACAACACAAAGTTAAAAGGCAAAATTAAACTAGATTAATGCCGATAAAAGAGCTGGCTGTTGACTGATTGGATACACGTTATGTATGAAAAGACTGTTTTGTTTATATGATGGCCGATAAAATTGGTATACAGACGTGATCAGAGAAACAGTAGCGCATAGGCTACCCAACAATTTGACAAGCAGAAAAGTCAAACACCTACACATTATCTCCTAAGGAAATCGTTAAGTATGTATACAGGCATTGCATGGTTAGCACCAGGAAGCTGTGTCGTTCGGAATACGTTAAATGTGAGTAATGTTATAGAGAGTTGTACCGATATTGGATAATGTGTTGAAACTTCTGGATGTGTACACTGGAGCGAATGGACCGCTAGGACCCTTGTGTAAGTGACCATATTACATTAACCTACTCATACCACAGCGCTTAATAAAACGTAATGCCACTGCTAGTAAATTATAGCACTAAACAACCAGAAACTATAAATGCTATTGTTTCAACAAAGAAATCGTTTTGTTAAAACACGTAATCAAAATTCTCAAACGTCACTCAGAAACCGACATAACTAAAGATTACTTGTAATAAAACTGACAATATCCGATTATGTAACTTTGTTTGTTCGGAGAGTTGCATTTCGGAACTTCCAACGGTTGTTTGCCGTTTTAATATTTTGAATAATGTTTACGAACTTGTTTATTGAATGTTAGCTGCATTGTTTGGAAGACTCGATACAAAACTTGAACGTTGATAACGAGGGAAGTGCCATACTCTCCTACAGAAACCAGCCGCCATCAGGCACCTTCTCTGGTAGGTTATCGCAGCCAAGCCGTCAGGGACCGATATGTATGGCGAAAGCAATGCGTACGATGTAGGCGGCCCTAATAATTAAATTGAAGGTCATGGTTTAGAGAATGTGAACATGGGGTTAAATCGTTATCAACCTTCTCATTGTAAATGTACATTACCCAAATATGTGTAAAACGAATGTTGTATACACTGTATAAGCATTGTTTCTACTCTGTTCACTATCTTAAATGAATCAATAAATAAAAATAATCGCTAATACTTTCTATCCTTTTATTTAAACCATTAAATTATTATACACTAAAAACTCAGATTTTTTTGGTCTCGATAAAACACATCTCTTTCTTTTTAGAAACGGTACGTTTACTAGCCTTTAGTTCTATTCGCTGACGATTGGCTCATTCTGAGAAGTACTGTTCCTAGGGAATACACGGTGTGAATTAACATGACCTGCCCAAGCTTCTGTAAATTGAATGTAGTAATATATATATACAGTAATAGAATAAAAGCAAATTACGTTTGCCACAATACCAAGATAGGAGGATATGGAGCTATCGTCGTGCAGAGACAGACGGAGAGGTCGGCACCGATGTTAGGAAAGGATAGCACAACAATATGACTGTATAAGTGCAATAAAGTCGAGGGTGAGTGGAGGGCACGCCAGTTCCTTTGAATGCCAATCTGGCTACTTTTGTGAAGTGTTTCCGCTGCAGCAGTGACGTATCACCGATACAACGCCATCACTCCCATATCGAGAGGGGATGTCAACGTCTCCATCAGGCGTGTCCAGCAATGATGTATTAAATGTATAACTTATTCGTTATTACTGATGGAAATATCATTTAATTGTACAGAAGTGACGGACAAAGGCGGTCGTTTATATTAAAGTTATTGATGTGAAAACGTCCAGAAAGTATTAACATACATTTGAAGATTAAACACTGAACACGATTAATTGAACGAGCTTGGCAGAATTAAATATGTGTAGCAGGGAGGTGCGTTGCTAATATCAGTAACAGTGATGTCGAACCTTAAGTCGTTTGCCCATCTGAAGCCACAGTGAATGGGACTTGATTGGAAAGTGCTTTCTTGATTTCTGAGATCACGGTTAGTTTAGGCGAAATCAGCAATCAGTTCCAACCATGATTGCTTATTTTATAGCATTAACGCCATTGATTTCTCGACTTACCGTACATAATCACTCCAAGAACTCCTTCAAAGTGCTTTGGCGAAGAATTTATTTCGGTACTTTTGTTTATTTCTGTACTTTAAAACAAATACAAATATCGTTTAAAAGTTTAGTATTAACCATATCGTAACGTCATTAATGGTCAAACATGCTTTTAGAGTCATCAGTGGCTCAATAGATTATATCATGATTCGAAAAAAGCAATGTTACCCTGTATAATTGTCTTAATATTGAGTTTTATGTTGTTTCACCGTCAACTGCAGTGACGTCAAGCTATTGTAATTGCAGGTGTGGACGGCGGGAGATACAAGTCATGCGGGTACGTGAGGGATTTATCTGTTCAGTGATTCTAAGTGTGATTGACAGCTGGGGCTATCTCTGTACCCTCTCGAGTCCTAGTAATAAGACAACAGGAAGCCTTAAATACACTGCGTCACAGACCAACCCATGGGTAACTCGTCAGGCTCCTCCAGGACGGGGGCCAAGGTACAATCTACACTTGTTTACAAATACGCGCGTGAACCATCCCTCCGGGGTTTATATGTGTCAACTAATATGTACTGTGTTTATATCTTAACTCTTCGTTGATTATTGTGAAAGGATGCGTGTTGTATAAACATTGAAGACAGTAAAGAAATTAAATTAGAATTTAAAATGTCAACTGGAATATTTTTTATTCTCAAGGAATAACACTGAATTACTAAAATAACAAATGGGGCAATTATCCAACACGTTCTGAATGCAATGTTCCAGTGTTACACCAAGCATTACCACCAGTCGACTCTTTAGAAGTCATCAGTGTCTGAGGTGCTAACGAGATAGCAGTGTATCCTTCGTACTTTTTTGGACGCTTTGTATTTGTGAACTATCCTCAGGATACGAATACCTCCTTGATCAAAGCACCCTCCGTACGATCGATGGCCAAACTACGACTGACACAACCTAGATAAAGGGTACGCGGTTCAACTTAATGGTGACACTTTGTGTTAAAATGAGTCTTTTTCATTGTCTACTTATTGTTTTGTGCAATTTTGGAGAATTGTCTTCGCTAAGGATCGGTCTGTTAATGCCCAAGGATGTGTATAATTATGGGATACCCAGCTTCCAAACGTCATCCGGAGCCTTTCAGGCGGCTCTCCAAGACATCAAGGTAACCGGCCAGGTCGTGCATTACACGTTCATTGACACGTTTTGTCTAAACAGCCTCGCTCTGGCCGGCACGGCTAACATTAGCAAACATGTCGACGTCATCATTGGGCCGGCTTGTGGACAGGAAGGTAAGGGAAGATACTTATGTTTTCATACAATGTATAACTAAAAACACTTGATATACCAACCTCGATGTTACTAATTGGAAATCTAGAGGAAAATGCGAGTAAATATTTATTTTATTTCCCCTTACTTAACAAAAGTCTGCAAAAAATAATGTAAATAAATGTTTAAATTAATATTTTAACTGATTTAGGAAACCTGGAAATATAATGCGTCCTTCTTCAGAAATGTTCTAATCTCCATACTGAAATGCTCCCTACTTTAAATAACAATTAAAAGCAATGTTGAAATCCAGATTTATCACTGTAGCTGTAAGGATACATGTTTAGCTGGATAAGACACCTAGATCAACCAATATTCCAGTATTCAGGCAAACCTGCCATGTGGATCAGCAGGGATTCCAAAAATTATTTTAGATCAATGAAATGGCTTTGTAGAAAGATATGATATCTATCTCCTCGTATTGTTAGTGTCAGTCAGACTATCCTACATTGATCTAGCGGTAAAACTTGGCTTTACTTTAAACCATTTGATGACGTTTGAAAATAGTGGGTAGTAAGTAGGTATATACATCAGGTGATTATTGATTAAGTACACCAAAACCACTATATCTAGTAACCTGTTTGGTTTATGATATCAGTTCATTGGCTCTAACATTTCAAACGTACCTATATTAGCGCCCTCAATTTCCCATGATTCGACAGCAGCTTGTATATCACAAGCGCCACGAATTCGCGTTCTTTTACATTCATAGTTACAATTACATATCTCAGGTATATTAAGCGAGATAATATTACTACCACTAAGAGGGGACTTTTACAGTACATAATTGGTCAACAAATCATTGCTAAAAAGTTGGTTATAACATGTTACATTACAAAGACTCTAAAGAAGAAGATTTACTAATCAAATTTATAATAGAAGACTTAAGTAGTCACAAGTAACATTGGAGAAGATTTTGTAATCTTTGTTATGTGACTTTAGAAATTAAAAGTTACATTGCAGATGATATATTAATCGTATGTCATACAATGACTGTAGTAATCATAAGTAACATTGTAGAATATTTACCAAATCTTTGTAATAGGAATACGTTAGACACCACAGTTAACATTGTAGAAGGTATATCAATACTATGTGATACAATGACTGAAATATATTGATCCTATGTAATACAATGACTGTAGTAATCACAAGTTACATCGTAGAAGTTATAGTAATCCTATGTAATACAATGACTGTAGTAATCACAAGTTACTTTGTAGAAGTTATAGTAATCCTATGTCATACAATGACTGTAGTAATCACAAGTTACTTTGTAGAAGGGATATCAATACTATGTGATACAATGACTGAAATATATTGATCCTATGTAATACAATGACTGTAGTAATCACAAGTTACTTTGTAGAAGGTATATCAATACTATGTGATACAATGACTGAAATATATTAATCCTATGTAATACAATGACTGTAGTAATCACAAGTTACATCGTAGAAGTTATAGTAATCCTATGTAATACAATGACTGTAGTAATCACAAGTTACAATGTAGAAGATATAGTAATCCTATGTAATACAATGACTGTAGTAATCACAAGTTATATCGTAGAAGTTATAGTAATCCTATGTTATACAATGACTGTATTAATCACAAGTTACATCGTAGAAGTTATAGTAATCCTATGTGATACAATGACTGTAGTAATCACAAGTTACATTGTAGAAGTTATAGTAATCCTATGTGATACAATGACTGTAGTAATCACAAGTTACATCGTAGAAGTTATAGTAATCCTATGTGATACAATGACTGTAGTAATCACAAGTTACATCGTAGAAGTTATAGTAATCCTATGTGATACAATGACTGTAGTAATCACAAGTTACATCGTAGAAGTTATAGTAATCCTATGTGATACAATGACTGTAGTAATCACAAGTTACATCGTAGAAGTTATAGTAATCCTATGTGATACAATGACTGTAGTAATCACAAGTTACATCGTAGAAGTTATAGTAATCCTATGTGATACAATGACTGTAGTAATCACAAGTTACATCGTAGAAGTTATAGTAATCCTATGTGATACAATGACTGTAGTAATCACAAGTTACATCGTAGAAGTTATAGTAATCCTATGTGATACAATGACTGTAGTAATCACAAGTTACATCGTAGAAGTTATAGTAATCCTATGTGATACAATGACTGTAGTAATCACAAGTTACATCGTAGAAGTTATAGTAATCCTATGTGATACAATGACTGTAGTAATCACAAGTTACATCGTAGAAGTTATAGTAATCCTATGTGATACAATGACTGTAGTAATCACAAGTTACATCGTAGAAGTTATAGTAATCCTATGTGATACAATGACTGTAGTAATCACAAGTTACATCGTAGAAGTTATAGTAATCCTATGTGATACAATGACTGTAGTAATCACAAGTTACATCGTAGAAGTTATAGTAATCCTATGTGATACAATGACTGTAGTAATCACAAGTTACATCGTAGAAGTTATAGTAATCCTATGTGATACAATGACTGTAGTAATCACAAGTTACATCGTAGAAGTTATAGTAATCCTATGTGATACAATGACTGTAGTAATCACAAGTTACATCGTAGAAGTTATAGTAATCCTATGTGATACAATGACTGTAGTAATCACAAGTTACATCGTAGAAGTTATAGTAATCCTATGTGATACAATGACTGTAGTAATCACAAGTTACATCGTAGAAGTTATAGTAATCCTATGTGATACAATGACTGTAGTAATCACAAGTTACATCGTAGAAGTTATAGTAATCCTATGTGATACAATGACTGTAGTAATCACAAGTTACATCGTAGAAGTTATAGTAATCCTATGTGATACAATGACTGTAGTAATCACAAGTTACATCGTAGAAGTTATAGTAATCCTATGTGATACAATGACTGTAGTAATCACAAGTTACATCGTAGAAGTTATAGTAATCCTATGTGATACAATGACTGTAGTAATCACAAGTTACATCGTAGAAGTTATAGTAATCCTATGTGATACAATGACTGTAGTAATCACAAGTTACATCGTAGAAGTTATAGTAATCCTATGTGATACAATGACTGTAGTAATCACAAGTTACATCGTAGAAGTTATAGTAATCCTATGTGATACAATGACTGTAGTAATCACAAGTTACATCGTAGAAGTTATAGTAATCCTATGTGATACAATGACTGTAGTAATCACAAGTTACATCGTAGAAGTTATAGTAATCCTATGTGATACAATGACTGTAGTAATCACAAGTTACATCGTAGAAGTTATAGTAATCCTATGTGATACAATGACTGTAGTAATCACAAGTTACATCGTAGAAGTTATAGTAATCCTATGTGATACAATGACTGTAGTAATCACAAGTTACATCGTAGAAGTTATAGTAATCCTATGTGATACAATGACTGTAGTAATCACAAGTTACATCGTAGAAGTTATAGTAATCCTATGTGATACAATGACTGTAGTAATCACAAGTTACATCGTAGAAGTTATAGTAATCCTATGTGATACAATGACTGTAGTAATCACAAGTTACATCGTAGAAGTTATAGTAATCCTATGTGATACAATGACTGTAGTAATCACAAGTTACATCGTAGAAGTTATAGTAATCCTATGTGATACAATGACTGTAGTAATCACAAGTTACATCGTAGAAGTTATAGTAATCCTATGTGATACAATGACTGTAGTAATCACAAGTTACATCGTAGAAGTTATAGTAATCCTATGTGATACAATGACTGTAGTAATCACAAGTTACATCGTAGAAGTTATAGTAATCCTATGTGATACAATGACTGTAGTAATCACAAGTTACATCGTAGAAGTTATAGTAATCCTATGTGATACAATGACTGTAGTAATCACAAGTTACATCGTAGAAGTTATAGTAATCCTATGTGATACAATGACTGTAGTAATCACAAGTTACATCGTAGAAGATATAGTAATCCTATGTGATGCAATGACTGTAGTAATCACAAGTTACATCGTAGAAGGTATATCAATCCTATGTTATACAATGACTGTAGTAATTACAAGTTACATCGTAGAAGATATAGTAATCCTATGTTATATAATGACTGTAGTAATCACAAGTTACATCGTAGAAGATATAGTAAACCTATGTTATACAATGACTGTTGTAATCACAAGTCACTTTGTAGATGGTACATCAATCCTATGTTATATATATGACTTTTATTATCACAAGTTACATACCAGAAGATTCAATAATCCTTTGTTATACTGAAGATATTACATTACAGGAAATTGTAAAGCCCTTCGTGTTACAATTGTAACCTGTGATACATTGTAGAATACTGTGAGTAATTACCTTTCTCTGCTGCGATAGAATTAATGGGATACTCATTTAAAAATTCGAGGGATTTCAAGTTCTACCTTTTTTATTTTTATGAGTTATCCCTATATTTTCATCAATTTAATACGCTTACATTCGTATTTATAAGTCGAGTTAGATTATAAATTAAAATGTTCGAACTTGTGTACTCTGAAATTGTATTAGTTATTTAATTACATGGAGAAATAAAGCCATTACCTACTGTCTTATTTGTTTGTAATATACAGTTATTTAGCAGACAAGATACGAAACTAAGTGTATCGGACATGCAGGTTTCGTGTGATAAAATCTCAATTCAATAATGAATCATCACATGTTAGTACAAGTGATTGTGCATCATATCCTAAATCAGATTAAATGCTGTGTAGGGTCTTATTATTATCAAAGGGCACGTCGTGTTATTAATGAAAATCGACGGTTCCTGTACGTATTTGTTGGGAGAGATTAATACGACAACCTGCACACATGATTATTGATGGGAAACAAACAGCTCTGGTTTCTTTGTAATGGATAGAACACGTGATACTAATTGGACAAAAAACAATCCACTGCTATACATCAAAGAATGAAACTGT